ATCATGCATGAAGGAGTCAAACTCACGACCAGCTAGACAGTTCACCCCACTGATTACAGCTCATGGTGCTGAAAAGTACTCGCATGCTACCAAAGGGAAAGGTGGCTCATGCTTGTCATCTCAGCACTTTGGAAGCTCTGATAGGAGGAACACTGTGAGTTTGAAGCCAGTCTGGGATACAGAATGAGTTCCAGGTCAGCCAGGACCAGAGACCCCGTCTCAAAAACAATTATATGTCTGTATGTCTATATGTATGCACACACACACACACACACACACACACACAGAGAGAGAGAGAGAGAGAGAGAGAGAGAGAGAGAGATTCTTGATTACCATTCTATTGCTGTAGAGAGACACCATGACCAAAACAACTTTTTAAAAAAAGCATTTAATTGGAGGGTTCCTTACAATTTCAGAAGGTTCGTCCGTGATTATCACCGCAGGAGGCATGGTGGCAGGCAGGCAGGCAGGCGCTGGAACAGTAGCTGAGAGCTTACATCTGATCTACAAGATGGAGGCAGAGTGAGAGACTCGGCAGCTGGCATGAGCTTTTGAAACCTCAAAGCCACCCCCCAGTGACACACTTCCTCCAACAAGGCTACACCCACTGCAAGGCCACACCTCCTAATCCTTCCTAAACAGTCCACCAACTGGGAACCAAACATTCAAATATATGAGCCAAGGGGTGTCGTTCTTATTCAAACCATCACACTCATAAGATAGATACACATTTCTAGGCAGCCTAAATTGTTCTGCTTACTTCTTTCCTCTCCTCCCTGACAGTCGCCTCTTCTTTCTCCCTCCATGCCTCTTCCTCCATCCACCTAACTAACTCTTTAATGCACCCTCTCAGTCACTGAAAAGTGATGCTCAGCCTATAGGAACAGAGAGAAGTTTGAAGGCAAAGACACCGGGGAGAGACGTCAAGGTCACAAAGCCTGGAGACCATACACCCTTTAGGAGGAGCAGCAGCAGCAGCCGTCACACAGTAGGCTGTCTGCTTCTTAGAGAAAAGCTGCTGAGTGGTTTTTCCTGGCATCAGTATCTCTCCTTCGTTCTTCATTCTCTCTCTGCTGCTGCTGCTCCTTTCCTCCTGATCACATTCTCCCTCTCCTCTCCTTTCCCAAGGGCGAACAACAACGTTTCCAGCTTTCCCAGTGACTCCCAGAAAAGGAAAACAGTGGGAAGAAGTGTTCACAGCAAGCTTTAAATTTTAGCCAAGTAGAGATGTTTTGTAGGTATGATGGATTAAGAGAGGGAGGGCATGAGTTTCTGGGTTTGATCTCTAGCACCAAATACACCAGGAGTGGTGACACAGATCTGTGATCCTAGTACTCAGGAGTGGAGGAAGGAAGGAGAATCAGGGGTTCAAGATCATTCTCTGGACACATAGGGAGGGTAGCCTGGGCTACATGTGACCCAGTCTGAAAAACAGAAAAAAAGAAATGAGAGCCAGAACTGATGAAGGCAGATGGGGCACTGGGTGGTTCTGTGACTTTCTTCCAGCCTGTTTGTACTAATGGAGAAGGCAGACTCTGGAGCCCTGTGAGTTTCCCCCTTCGCTCTCTTTCTCCCTACCTTGATAAGAAGGGGGAGTTTTGTTTTGTTCTCCCAGAGGATTCTTGGATCATTACTAATCTAGTCATTAGGAATGAAAAGAACAAGGAGAAGTTTTTCAATGAAAGGAGGCCTGGCAGTCATCTCAGCCACCATCTCACCACCTTGCCATGTCACTTCATTCTCTTTGATGTGAAAGCAGGCTACACGACCACACAGGGCAATGGAAAGGACCGTGCTGAATAATACATGTGAGAAGCTAGGAAAGCATCAAGCCTGCCTGAAGACAGACGCTCCAGTCAATGTGAAATCGCTGTCCCAAGAGCCTCAGGAGAAGCAAGTTCCCGTAAGAGTCCTTTACCTACCAAAGAGTCTGCAGTCGAATCAGAAGGGGAGTATAGACTTTACCTAACATGCTCAAGGCCCAGGCTTCAATCTCCAGCACCAGGAACAAAACAAAACAACATAAAGGAAACACAGTTGGGAGTATAGCTCAGTAGCTCAAAAACAGATAGGGCTTTGCCTATCAAGCCCAAGGGCCTCGGTTCAAGCCCCCAGCACTGAAAAAAAAATCTGAGAGACAAGATGTACAATACACAATGACATGTAACAACTTGTCTGGACAGCATATGGGATATGGAGTGGAGCAAGCACTGTTTAGTGGCTGGAACTAGGGACGAGGCAAATACAGAGCAGTGATGGTTAAAAAGGTCATTGGCTGGTTGTGGTTTATGTCTTCCTTTTTTGTTTTTTGAGATATGGTCTCACAATGTAGCTCAGATTGACAGTCTTGAACCTATGATCCTCCTGCCTCAATCTCACCATTGGGATTATAGATGTGCACCACCACACCCGGTGGTAAGGACCTATTGAAGAGACAAGACCTACGATGGGTTGGATTGTGTCTCAAGAGATATGTTGGAGATCTGCTCCCTGCCTCCCAGTACCTCAGGCTGTGACCATTTTGGGCACAGGATCTTTGCACATGTAATTAGGTAAAAATAACACTGCACTTGGTCAGAGTAGATGATTAATCTAGTATAACTGGCATCCTTTTAAGGAGAATTGGGTAAGACATGGCGAGATAATGCCGCACAAAGACAGAGTCACACAGAGGGAAGAATATACAGATGCCATGGGACAATGTGGGCAGATTTCAAGATGGTCAGGCACCTCCTGCAAACAGCAGAGTTAGCAAGAGGCCAGCCAAGTTCTAGATGGGGACTTGGCAGTGAACACACCCTAATTTCAGGTTGCTGGCCTCCCGAGAGGGGGAGGAGAAGGGTGGGAGAATGTGTCTCTGTGGTTTAAGTTATGCTGTGTGTGATTCTCTGTAATAACAGCCACAGGAGAGAGCTACCTGGGTTACCGTGGGCTTTCCTGATAAGGTATCTCATACCCATAAGACAATTGGAAAGGAGGTGACTCTTTGTAAAACATTACAACACAACACAAGGTGAGCTGCGCTGGGTCCGTTTCATCCTTTCTTAGGACGCTGTCATACTTTTGGTGAGGTTTGGCTCTACAAATGATCAGAAACTCATGAGTCACCTGATTGTCATCAGGTTGCCATGACTCTACCGCCTTGTGTATTTGGTTTGGCTGTACAAATTCTTTTAAACTGACTTCTTCTTGCCCATTATCTATTTACTGTCCATGAAGAATCATGCTGATCCTGTTCTCATTTGTTTTAGGGGACGCTCAACTTTCATGTTTATGGATATTCAGATCTGAGTAGTACCTGGATTTCCTGGCTGGGAGCTCTGATGAAAGCCCTTTGAATCGGCTATGTGAGCAGCTCCCGAAACACTGTGTGCCCTTCCTGATGCTCGGCAGGCTTTACTTCAAGGAAATCCTGTTCTTTGAAGCAGTGGTTATGGTCCACTGGGCCAGAAACCCATCCTGAGAAAGCTTGAAGAGCAGGGTTTACATGTCCCACTGTCTGAGGTCCAAGGTTGCCATTAGAGAGAGTTAGGTAAACAAAACCACCACAGAAGTCCTGAATACATATTTGCAGGATCACAGGCTAGTGAAGGAGTGTTTCCCCTTTCAAATAGAGCTGTGTGTGTATGTGTGTGTGTGTGTGTGTGTGTGTGTGTGTGTGTGTGTGTGTGTGTGCAAGTGATTGCAAGTGTGCAAGCCACACGTATATGTGCTAGTACATGTGAAGGCCAGGAAGCAACCTCAAATGTCACTTCTCAGATAATAGTCCACCATTGTTAGCCTGAAACTCACTGAGTAGGACAGGAGTCGCCAGCAAGTCCCATGGGTCTGCCTGTCTCTGCCTCCCCAGAACTTAGATTACAAGCAGGTGCCACCATGCCCAGAATTTTTATATATATAGATCTGGGAGATTGAACTCAGGTCCTCATGTTTACAAGGGAAATACTTTACTGACTGAGCTGTCACTCCAGACCCAGGCACAGCTTGTGAAAATGCAGTTTGGTTGGTTGCAAGCACAGTAGGGAGGGAGCATCAGTCCATTTTTATGTATTAGTCATGAATGTATCATGATTGGTTGTAGCTGATCATTTCCCAACATCCTTTGGGATTCCTCATAGGATGGGATACAGGTAAGGCATTTAGGGTAGTGTCTGGCATGCAGTCAGTTCTAATACATGCTGGTTAAGGCTTTTTTTTCTTTTAGCTAAATTGGGTGAATTCCAATCAGGTATTTCATGAAATTCTGTTTGGCAATAGCATTTCCAAAATTATTTTTTGTTAATTTTTAAATAATTAATTAAGGTATCTGTTGAGCTGTGGGCTGGAGCTATAACTCAATTAGGAGAATGCTTACGTAGCATGCATGAAGCTCAGAGTTTGATTTCCAGCACACATAAGCTGACATGGTGACACACATTCATAATTCCATCACCTAGGAGGTGGAAACAGCAGGGTGAGAAGTTCAAGGTCATCTGTAGCTCTATTAGGAGTTGGAGGCCAGCCTTCAGCACATGAGACACTTTGATGTCTTAAAATCCAGTTCGTGCAAGGGAGGAAAAAACCAGAGTGAGTCATTGGATGCAAAACCATTGAAAATCTGTTTGTTTTCTTCTTTTAAGACTCTGGTTTACACTGGGCTGGCACAGTTTGAAACCGTGGAGGGAACATTTAGAGGCTCTGAGGCGCCAGGCATAGCAATCTAATGGCAATAATCCCATGGCAATGGGGTACGGTTTCTAGTTCTGGCTCCTTCGATTTCCCATTATGATATCCAAATGGGATGCAGAAAAAATATGGAAGCAAACAATGACAATCACAAATCACATACCCAAATTCATTTGATGATGTGGAAGGAGTTGAAACGAGGGAGAAAAACCTACCCATGAAAATAAGGAACTTAAAACGCAAGTGCCAAAGTTCAAGTCACAACATGCAGAGTCCAACAGCAGAATTGGCGCTACAGCCAAGGTCATCACCGTTCAAGAATGAGTTTTGGGGTCGAGTCCTCTGGAAAGCTTCCCACAGTTCTTTCCATGTGCTGTGTTCCTAACAGGTCTGCATCATCACATTCTCTCCCTGGCCATGTGTTGATGTGATCTGTCCATAGATCTAGGGCTAAATCTAAACTACAGGAACCAGGGCATACCTTCTTTGTACCTGCATAGCACCACGGATGGTCCTAAGAAAGCATTTGATAAACACTATGAAATAGCTATGAGAAGACTTCATGCAGGGTCTTTCTGAAGGCCAGCAACACTCTTTGTTACACTTTCCCTCATTATGCAGTTGGTAGCTTGTCAAAAGAAAGGAATTTTAAACTGTATTTAGTCTGGTTCCTGATGCCGTAACTGAATACCATAGTCTTGGTCATTTGCAAAGAGTTCAAGCTTACTTAGCTCATTGTTTTGGAGGCTAGGACGCCAAGAAAATGGTGAAGGGCTTATGCTGCAGATGGCATCACATAGACAGCTTGGCTTCTCCTCTTCTGAGAAAGCCCCCAATGCCACCATGAAATCCTAATCCCAGTGTCCTAGCTAATCCTAGCTCCCTAAAGGCCCCACCCTTCAATACCATCAGTCTGTGAGGTTTCTGGCACACTGGCCTGGAACTCACCAAGTCGGTGAGGCTGGCTGGCCAATGAGCCCCAGAGACTCACCAGCCTCTGTCTCCCAACAAAAGCATGTTGCTATACCATGCTTTTCCTTACATGAGTTCTCAGGGATCCATCCCGTGTCCTCATGCACGCAAAGCAAGCAATTTACTAGAATCAAGGACCAGAAAATAAGGAGGGGAGCTATGAACAGTTTGTTCACCATTTTGAACATTTTCCAGAAGAGAAGACTCCTAGACTTACTCAGGGTTAATTTGTTGGCCTGTTGCCATGGCAGCCTCATAAAAAGGGTTTGTTTGGTCTCCACCCCATTGCAGATAATTATCAGCAAATTAAAAGGTACGGTGATAAACCAATTACAAAGGAAGAGGCAGAAGAGCCATAAAATACAGGCACAATAAAGCAAAAATGATTCTGACGCCAGAAACAAATTGTCCTCTGCACAGATTTCGCTAGGTCCTTAGGGAGCTACTGTATTGGAGCTGACTACCAGGACAAGTTCTCGTGAATGCTGCCGTGCGTTTGAAGAAACAACTTCTCACACACCCCGGAAATACAGCTCTCCTAAATCATTAGGTCTTTGACAACTCTAGAAAGCTGGTTTTTAGTTTAGTTTAGTTTAGTTTGTCTTGAGTATATTGTGGTTAGCCCTGCCTCTTAGGTATAAGCTGTGTTCTTGACTGTACTGAAGTTCCTGGAGCACAATGCTAAGTCGGTTACTTCTCTCTAAACCCCAAACAATGATCTTCATCCATATGATGCAACCCATGAGCCCTTCAGGCAAAGGAAAGGGGCTAGGACACGTGCATGCCATAGGATGTGATGCAGTTCAAGATGCAGTCAAGTAACTATTGAAGCGGGGACCCGTGTCCTCTTCTAAGCTGCAGCAGATGTGGGGTGCCATCATTTCCTCTGACCACTTAAGGGGTCCTTTCTAGTTTGGTTCTCTTGTTGTGATAGAACACTCTGACCCAAAGAAAGTGGAGGGAGGAAGGATATATTTAGCTTACACTTTGGGGTCTCAGTTCATCATGCAGGGAAGTTAGGGCAGGAACTCAAACAGGATCTTAAAGCAAAAACCGTGACGGCGTCGGGCAGTGGTGGCGCACGCCTTTAATCCCAGAACTCCAGAGGCAAAGGCAGGTAGATCCCTGTGAGTCCCAAGCCACGCTGGTTTAGAACAAGTTCCAGGACAGCCAAAATTACACAGAGAAACCCTGTCTGGAAAACAAAACAAAACAAAAAACACGTGGAGAAATGCTGGCTAGCTTTCTTATATAACCCTGGGCCACCTCTCACAATGGGCTGGGCCCTCAAACATCAATTAATAGTCATGATAGTCCCCACAGAGATGCCCAAACACCAGTTTCTTCTAGGTAATTCTTCAATGGAGACTCTCTCAGGTGACTCTTAGACTGTGTCAAAGCAAACTAGGACAGAATCTTCCTCTGTATATAATTAATCATCAGATTCCCCCGCAAACCCCCAAAGATTTCTATGATTATCCTGAAAGGGTCTGATGGCTTCTCCCAAGGTCTGTGAAAGGCAGATGGCTACCTCCCCAAACCTCCATCTCTTTCCCATCTCCTAATGTTCTTGTTGTCTCTGGCCTGTCTTTAATGTGAATCATTTACAGACTGGGTTCAACTTCGGAGTCTCACTGCCTCCTCTATGGTCACAGCCTCAGGACTGACTCAGACAACAGATTTTCAGTGTGTTGGTAGGACCTTCTTTGTAATTACCATCAATTTTTTTGCAATTTTCTGTGAACAATTGTGGATTTAAAAATTCAGACTCTTTCAATGGAATGTTGCATTGGATGCTTCCCAACAACAAAAGCAACATCTGAAAATGCAGGACTGACCTGTCACTTAATTTAATCACATCCATGAGGTCTCCCTTCCACTCTTGGCCTTCACCTCCCAGTTGCAACCCACATGTAACCCTTCTCTCAATTCTAACCAGTGCTCAGTGTATGCTGCTAGTATTTCTCAGAGCTGGTTCTTTGAAAAGATAAACAAGATAGACAGACTTTTAGTATAGTTAACAAAAAAAAAAAAAAAAAAAAAGGAAAGGAAAAAGAGGGGGACCCAAGCTGACAGAACCGGAGATGAACAGGGAAACACCACAATAGACACCAAAGAAATTCAGAATGTTATAAGGGAATAATTTGAAAAATAAAAACTATGCTCCCTTAAGTTAGAAAAACCTAAAGGAAATGAATGAATTTCTAGATTCATCTGAAAAAACAAGGATAATCCAAGAAGAGATCAACAGCTCAAAGAAGGAGACAGAAATAAAAAGCCTTCCAATTAAAAAACATTCAGGCCCAGATGGATTTACAACAGAATTCTACACAACTATCAGAGAACTGCAACTAAATACATTAAATTATTTTTTAAAGTTTTGGTTTTTATGTTTTTTGCTATTTGATTTTCATATGTTAAAAGGGGGCATTGGATGCCCTTCAGCATGAAAAGGTTCCTTACTATTTAACAATCTGAAAAATTAAGTTAAAACACTTCAGAATGTACACATTGGAACGGACTTTCTTTTTTTTGTGTGTGTGTGTGTTTTTGTTTTTTGTTTTTTGAGACAGGGTTTCTCTGTGTAGCTTTGCGCCTTTCCTGGAACTCACTTGGTAGCCCAGGCTGGCCTCGAACTCACAGAGATCCGCCTGGCTCTACCTCCCAAGTGCTGGGATTAAAGGTGTGCGCCACCACCAACCGGCTTGGAATGGACTTTCTAAAAAGGACTCCAATAACATAGGAATGAATTGATAAATGGTATCGCATGAAATTAAAAAGTCTCTGCACAGGAAGGGAGCTAATCACCAAAGTTAAGTGACAGCCTACAGATTCCAATCTTTGCCAACTATAGATGGAATGAGAGAATTGTTCCCAGAATGCATAAAGAATGGCAAAAATTAAACAAACCAAAAAAACAATCACACCAATCAATCAACAAATGGGCTAATGAATTAAGTAGAGAATTCTCAAAAGAAGGAAAACTACCAATAAATATTTGAAAACATGTCCAACATCCTTAAACATCAGGGAAACATGGACAAAAACAGTTTTTCATTAGCCTGTGTTAAGTATAATTATCAATGGTTTTATTATGACACCCTCATACATGTATAACTGCTTTGGAATTCCTCCTACTGAGTCAGAATGGCTATCATCAAGAAAAAAATAGTAACAAATACTGGTGAAGCTGTGTGCAAAGACTAGTCAGTGGTGGGAATGTAAACTTCCACTATGGAAGTCTGTGTGAGGGCTCTTCACAACACTGCAGATAGAATGACCACATGACTCAGCTACATGTGTATAACCTGAAGGACTCTAAGTCAACACTGCCACTTACCCAAGCTGATGTCACACTGTTCATAATAACTAAGAGCTGGAACCAACAATGCCCCTTAGCAGATGCGTGGATAAAGAAAATGTAGTCTGTGCACACAATTTTTTTCAGCTGTAAACAAAAATAAAATATTTGTATGAAAATGGATAGTTAGTGATAATTATGTTGAACAAAATAAGCCAAAGTCAGAAAGAAAATATCACACTTTTTCTATGAAAAAAAAAATTAAATTAGTTTTATGTCATGAAAGTAGACCATGAGAAGAAATGGGGGGAGGAGACCTTAAGGGAGAGGGGTGAAGAGAGGGTGGTGGAACTCATGCAACATGAAAAAAGAAGGGGGGCTGTTTGAGGAAAGGAAGGGGACCAAAAGAGGAGTGTAGGGGTACAGAAATGGCAGTGGGGGAGGGGGGGAAAAGGAACAAAGGCTCTCCCTACGTGTCATCATGAAACGCATCACTTTGTACGCCAACTTGAAAAAATTAATAGAACGAAAAGAAGTCACCCAAGCCTTCCCTTCTAACGGTCTGTGCCTCTGTGGAAGAGTGTGAAAAGTGATGTGGAGAGAAGCCATAGATAAATAGTTGTTGGGAGGCCCTGCTGGTCACAGGTTGCAGTCTACCATGGCCTGGTGGCTCTCTTAGAGCTTCGCGATATGGAAGATTCCCTCCCCAGCGAGACTTCCTGACCTCTATCTGCCTTTATTTGGAGAGTGTCTCTAGGCCTGATTTATCTCTAGTGTGACCCCTGGCATGGCTCCCTGCTAGAGCTCTCTCTGCTGCCCATATGGTAAAGAGACATTGTGCTGGGAGCTTTCAGATAGGATCATGCTTCCACGTATGATAACTAAGACTTATAGCAGGAGCTGTACGATAGGAGCACGTTGTTTAATGTAAACTAGGTGATCCCCCCAGCTAGCGTCCCTAATCCTATATATTCCCTGTCCTCTGGAATAAAGCTGAGCTGTCTCGTTGAAGCAGTCTCCCAGAGAGCTATCTCTGCCAACCCACAAGCCATCTGACCATGGTCACTCGCTTCTGCTCCCTTCCCCCTTGAGGACTGGTGGTGACCATCCCCAAGGAAGAAGGAGAACCACAAATAGAAATCTGTTCTGGGAAGGACTTGAGTGAAATAAGTGTCCCTGAGTTAAAAATTACTTTAGTTAAGAAAGTAAATGGGATGTTGCGGGAAGCAACTAAGGTGTTGTTGTCGTTGTGTTTGGAGGATGTGATGGAACTTAGAGTTAAGGGAAGTAGAGGTTTGGGTGATGGAGAGATGGCTCTGAGCATATGAACATGAGAGCACTGAAGAGCGCAGAAATCCGAGATGCTTCCTCCTCCTGGGACCTGGCCAGTGCTGATGGGACTGTGAAGCAGGGGTGTGTTGGTTGATGCAATGTTTCTAGAAAAAGCAGTGTCTGAGTTTACTGGTGCTCAGGCAAGTGTGGAGCTGTAGGGAAGTGGCCACAGTGGAAGTTTGGTACCTTTCTACAAAAGCTCTAATCCTGAGGCACAGACAGACCATCATTACCCCATTAGCCCATCAAATATTAGCAGTCTAAGGATTCCAGGGCTGGGTGACCTGGGGTAGACTCGCTGCATCCTATTTCTTCCACTGATTACAACAATTCTACAGGATATAACACACAACTGCCTGTGGGCTCTGAGAAGGCCATAATAGCAGGTAGATAAGAAAGACAAATTTAAAGATGGACCGGTGCAGGCTGGGGATTTAGCTCAGTGGTAGAGCAATTGCCTAGCAAGCAGGAAGGCCCTGGGTTCAGTCCTCGGCTCCTGGGAAGGGGACAAGAATGGCCAAGGCAATGGTGGGTTTTGTAGTATTTTATCGGTTCGGTCACTTTAATCCGGCTTTGACCTGAGGGTGGACCGACCACATGGATTGAACTGCACAGTGGATGCAGCTAGCACAAATACCAAGAAGCTTCTCAGAACAGATTAGGGAACAAAAGGACTCCGAGAAAAATAGGAAAGAAATCCTCCTATCTTTCTTTGGGGGGGGTGTGGACTTTTATTTCTCTCTCGGCTTTGTCCTGACCTCGGCCTCAGTCATAACGCTCTAACACCACTGCAGTGACACCAGTAACATGGACTCACGAAACATGGAAAGAAGTTCCGGATGTACTGAGGGTGGGGACAATTTCCAACCACATTTCTCTCCATTGCGCTGTATCCATGGTAATTTATTTGCACACAGCTGTGTGACATCACAGTAGGGGATAGAGGCTAAGACTCTTAGAGAACTCATACTTCCGGCCAGAAGAACCAGGTGAAGATATTCACAGCATCCGAGGGCGGGACAATTTTATAGGAAAGAGAAGCACAGAACTAAATATTGAAATTCTGTATGAACCACTAATAACCCCAACATTGTTATTGAATTTCATAGGTGTGAAACAGAGCTCAGAATCTCACAGGTGTGTAACAGAGCTCAGAACCACTTGTAAGCCCAAGCTCATCATTGAATCTCACAAGTGTGTAACAGCGCTCAGAAGAAAATGCAGTCAAGACTTTGAGGACAGAACTGTGACTGAAACCTCCATGGACCACAGCCAAGATGAAAAGTCATGGTATGTGCCCAGGAACGGAGGTTCAGAGTGAATAACAAAGGCTTTGAAGACTTAACACACAGCCCCCTCCTCCACAGAAGGAGAAAGGAACCTGAACTAGGAATATGACCAGGCTGGTGGTCCGCTAAAACAAACAAAACCACCAGAGGATTTTAATGTGACTCAGGCTCTCACAAAGAGCGTTCCAAGAACTCAAGATACTACCTAACATTACCCAAACGCCAACGATGAAATTATCACCAATTTTTCAGAGACAACTAAAAGATGTCAACTCTTAGCTGCCTGTGTCTTAGCTGCTGGAATAATTACCCAATTCTGAAATTAGATAAACACCTTTGACAAGAATGTAAAAATAGGCTGGGCAGTGGTGGCGCACACCTTTAATCCCAGCACTCGGGACACAGGAGGCAAGCAGATCTCTGTGAGTTCAAGGCCAGCCTGGTCTACAGAGCTAGTTCCAGGACAGCTAGAACTGTTACACAGAGAAATCCTGCCTTGAAAAACAAAAACAAAAAAGGGAAAAGAATGTAAAATAGTTCTCTCCCCTACCCTTTACCTTCCCCCTCCCTGTCTTGACTATATAGTGCTGGGAGGCCTTGGGCTTACAGTATTTCTTGTTAACACTTCTCAAGGGCTATGACTACAGGGGTGTGCCACCATGGCCAATATCAGAATTCAAAAGCCAAAATCCAAGGAAAGAATAAATGAGCCTAGATCAACAGTCATTTCCCAGTCTGAGAAAGAACAGATAAGAAAGAAATCATGTCTAAAAAAGTTGTGAGATGATATCAAAAGTGAAGAGGGTGGTCAGTCATTGAAAGGCCCACGTTTGAACCCCAGTACCCACATAAAGATGATGGTCATGGTGGCATGCGCTTGTAAGTCCAGCACAGGAGACAGAGAGACAAGATCATCCCTGAGACTCACTGGCCAAGCTAGTCAGGTGTAACTGAGATCCTGTCTCAAAGGAGGTGGGCAGTACTCCTGAGAAGGATATCTGAGGTTCTCTCTGCCCACCCACACACACCTCAAAATAGTTCTAAAATGCATGCCATTCGTGTCACAGAATAAAAGGTGAGGGACCTGTACACAACTAAAATTTCAAGAAATAAGGGTAAAAACTTCCTAAATATTGTGAAAGATAGCATTTTATAAATATAAAAGTCTCAGTGAAACCCATAACACAAACTCAATGAAAATCAACAAACTGTAATCAAACTGATGAAAATCAAGTTTGAAGAAAATAATATTTACAATAGTCATACAAACAGCAAATGATAGATGTGAGACATCAATTCGAATGACTGCTAATTTCTCAGAAGGCACCCTGGAGGCCCAAGGACAATGGGAAGCACTTCTTCTGCTGAAGGAGAGGATATTTGCAAGAATGAGAAGAAGATGGATGGGAAGAATTAACATTATAAAAATGACTATACTACCAACATCAGATCCAATCCAATCCTCATCAAAATCCCAGCATCATTCTTTAAAGAAACAGAAGGAATATTACAGTTCATATGGAAGTGCGAAAGGCCCCAGATTGCCAAAGCAATTCTGAGCAAGAAAAACCATACAGGAAGAAGTCTCACTATACCCAATGTTTGAGTTAGACCAGCAGCATGGTACTGGTACAAAGACAGACATGGAGATCAATGGATCAGTGTCCAAAGGGGAATCTTTCAGCCGTAAAGCAGAATAAAGCCATTTTGTTTGAAAAAAAAAAAAAGGGATGCAACTGATATAATCATACTAAGTCGAATTAAGCAAGTCTCAGAAAGACAACTATGTTTCCTCTCAGATGTAGTTTCCTGTTCATATAAATACATAAAATCACGTGAGTATGTATGACATGAAAGTAGAAGATAAAGTCCATGGTCGGGGGAGGGGCAGGGGGACCTAGCAGAAATGAGGAGATGGGTGGGAACATGTTCAATGTACAATATGCGCTTGTACATTCTTATGTAACATAGCCATGTACAGTGAATACATACAGTGATTTAAAAAAAAAAGAAAGACAGAAAACTTGGAGGCTGGAGAGATGGCTCAGCAGTTAGGAGCACTTGCTGCTCTTGCAGAGGACTAGAACCCACATGGTAGTGGCTCACAACCTCATGGAACTTCAGTTCCAGGGAATCCGACGCCCTCTTCTGGCCTGTACAGGCACTGCCTGCACAGGGGGCACATACAGTCAGGCAGGAACACAGAAACACATGTAAAAGTGAGTAAAATAAAAAGGAAAACTTACATTAACACAAAACTATACTTGTGCATGATTAGATCAGTTTTATCATAATCACTCCAAAGCAGGGACAATATTGATAAGATTTTATTAGAGAATGGATTAGCAAACTCACCTAGCTGATAGCCCATAATAGCCTATATGTCGTCACATGGCATTCTGAAAAGGGCAAGTCTGTAGAGAATGAGGACAGTTTGCTGAGTGAAGGGCATGAGTAATTGGCAACACAAGAGAAATTTGAGAGGTGACTACAATTCCATGCCTTGGATATTGTGATAATTAGAAAACTCTTAATCTAATTCTCAAAATTCAGAGCTAAGACCAAAATAGTGATTTATTCTTAAGCACATATGAAATTTTAAAAGTGTGTTAAACTTTCTACTTCATGTGTCCATCTCTTAAAACAGTACATACAATATCAAGAAGGCGAAGGTTCACTGAATTCTCCTAAATTTAAATACATAAAAAGTCATCGAGGGAACAAGATTTCTGGTGTGGTCTTGGTGGGAACTCCTGCAAAGTAAACCTGGTCAGGACATTCAATACTTCTGTTATCTACGTAAACAGAGATTTGGGATTTCCTTGTCTGTTTCATGTGAGATCTGTGCCAGGAAGGAAGGGGACTGGAGCCCCATTGAGCAGTTCTGCTTCCCAATACCTCTCACTGGAGAAACCCATCATGACTGGAGTCAGCAACAAGGCTGTTGGGAGGTGGCCCAGGAGAGCACAAGTGACTTGTCGGTTTTCAGACTGTGTTCATAAGCTGTGCTCACTGTGAGCCCCAGTGAGCCAGATCCCAGCGGCCACATCCTCCCTATCGGTCTGCCAGCTTTAGAACTGCCCAGATGTCAAGTGCAAATATGAGGGCCACAAGAAGGAGGAAGTCGCCTTTGTCTCAGGACTGTGCTTAGCGAGGTAGGTCGGAGATGACACCTGTTCAACACACCAGGTAAACTCTCCACTCCTGTCCTTGGCTTCTTTCAGGCCCTGCAGTTAGCTCAGGTGCTCCACCTGGCCAGTCTGTACATCCTGGACACATTTCCTCAGGCTCTGCTTCCCCAAGCTATGTTTCAGGTTCAGTGGTTCTTCAAACACTGAAAGACACCTCTGCCTTGGCCCCTCCTTAGGAAGGTGTTCCTTCCTTTGCTCAGAGACTTCCTGAAAAAACAATGGATGCAAATCTCATTGTTACCAATCACACAGCCTAACGAATGTGCAGGGAGTGTCTTATAAAGCAAACCCAGGGTGGTTCCTTCCACAATTTGAAGTCTCTTTCTGAAAAGGAACAACCTAGACCCCTCCTGAACCACAAACAAGCATGTACACACACGCTTGCCAATCCCTCTAGATACTAAGTCCATATTAGCACAACGTGTTTGGCGGGGAGATGGACATTCAACTTCTTGCTGGCTGTCAGAGCCACCTCTAGGAACCTGAGTCTGACAGATGTGTCTCCTCTGTTCCTAATGCTGCATCTTCCACCCAGCAGCCCCTACAGCTCCACCAGGATCCCACCCACAGAACACACCATCCCTAAAAGGGAAAATGGGAGCATAACTCCAGCACAATAATACACTTAAAGTATATACGTAGTAAGTAAAAAGAAATTGCTAGATTGTTAGGACATAAAACACCAGACACTACTAAGCCTTATTTTCTTTCCTCCGTTTTCTATTTTGGGTGGGACCAGTGACAGGTGAACTTTTAATTAAAAATTTAGAAGATGTCTTTGTTTTTGTTTGATGTGTTGGGATGTTTTGTCTGTATGTACGTATATGCACCATGCGTGTGCAGTGCACAAGGAGGCCGGAGGAGAGTGTTTGATCCCACGGCGCTGGAGCCATCGTGTGCATGCTGGGAACTGGACCTCTGTCCTCCATCAGAGCAGCAAGTGCTCTTAACTGTGGGGCCATCTCTCCAGCCCCCTCGTTGGATCAACTGACTCACTCAGGAGTCCAGCACACACAGGCACTGGCATCCTCTTCCTCCAGGTTTCTCTTTCTGGACTTCTAGTGTATTGGACAGAACTTCCTAGTCTCAGAATGGTGCAAAGTAAATTTCTTTTGCTTATAAATAAATTTGTGATGGCAGCATGACTAGCCCAGTGCCCACTCTGAGCTATCTAAGCTTCCATCGGTTCAAGGAAAAGGCTAGGTCGGGGGGACCAACATCATCTACTGACCTTAACCAGTCACAGGATCTGTTTTATGGACTTCTTAGGTCTGGGGGGATCTCCTATTTGGAGTCCTCATCTCCTAGGAAACCAATATTTGAAAATTTACCCATGTCTCACATGAAATACAATTTCTATGTAGCTATGTAACTAGAAGCAGTTACCAAATT